AAAAAAAAAAAAAAAAACAGAGAAAACAAAACGGAAAAAAAAAGAAAGAAAGCTAGAAAGGGGAACGGATCATTTTCCTAGAGTGCCGCCTCTAGCTTTGCGAATCGAGAAGCATCGGGCGAGTCCCCTCGCTCGGATTCGCCGCCGAGCCTCTCCTCTTCGTCTCGTTACCTTTTTGGGTGCCGTGATAGTTAAAACACCATCGGAAGAAAGGCTCGAGGTAATATTGATCACATCGTGAGATGGAGGCAGGACGTATCTTCGTACGAAGTGTCTGCTGACAAATCCATGCTCGTCTTGTCTCTCCTCGTGTTTGGCTTCGACGATAACGTCGTTACCCACCGTCTTCACCGTGATCTCCTCCGGTGAGAATTGTTGAACGTCCAGTATTACCTGCGCAGATCAGAACGAAGGGAATTTCAGACGGGTCGAACGGGGGAAAAAGAAAAGAAAGGAAAAGAAAAAAAAAAAACAAAAACAGAGAGTTGGTCGGTTTTTCTGTGGGAGCGCACGATGTTGTACGTGTGACGATAACCGATACGATAATGTCAAAGAGGCTATAACAGAGATATATTGTCCGTACGACCATTGAGACATACATTTTCTATCATTCGATTCAGGCCATACACGTCCGTGTACCATGCTCGCTGACTCATTACATACAAATATAAAGATCGTCGTTCGTTGCGAAAGTTAAGTAATTCAGGCTTTTCCACCGATTTATCCAACCGATTGTACCGAGGGAGAAACTCGCTCTCGTTGAGATCAACGCCGCTTTTAAGGCACAGGCCTTCGCCTGCTGCTTCGACACATCTACGTCTATTAACGATTAATTTGTTAGCCCAGCCAGTCTGTGTATCTTCGAGATAACGAGCTCCCTCGTCTGGAAGAGCTTAGGTGCCCGCTCGTTGGATACACGAGAAATTATATTACACACAGTTAGCTATTAGCTACCATACGCACAACCGTTTCTAAACCTTTGTTAATTGCTCTTGAACGGTGAGCTAGAGAGAAAGAGTGAGTGTGAGAGAAAGAGAAAGAGAGAGAGAGAGTAAATTAACGGGCAAAAAGAAAAAAAGAGTATAAACTAAAATCCGTTCTTCCGGTTAACTCGAATCATCCACGCTATATAGTAGCTTGTAATCGCGAGGATTCGTCGGAGTTTATAGAATATGAAGTAGAAAAGAGAATAGAAAAGAAAAAAAAAAGAGAAAAAGAAGAAGAAATGTAGGAGATAATCGCAGATTTTTCAACTTCGCACCCGTTGGCAGAGATTTCGCTTCGTTCTTCGTTATCTCCTCCCCCACCCGTTAATATATCTTTCATGTAACAAACCAGCGTTTTGTAATTCGTGAATGTGCAACCGTCGAGAACGTCGAGAGCAAACCGGGAAAATGTAGCTGACAAGATCGCCGCCTATTTGTAACATCGTTTCTTCTTCTCCCCGTCTTTTTTTTTCTTTCGTTCATTCGCACGAGAGGACGAGCTAAAAAGCCATGCAACAACCAGTAGGGATCATTTTTTGAGCAAGAAAAAAGGGAGGCAGAATCGTCGCGTTCACACGCGTTGGTCCCCTTTCTTTTCCTTTACTTTCGATTGACAGTTTGTCTATCTCGTGGTTAGCAGCTTCACTTTGGAAACAAAAAGAGTTCAAAGACAGAGAAAGAGAGGGCGGACGCACCTTGGCGATACCGAAACTTTGAGAAACGCGAACCGCGGTTCTTCGGGTGATCTTCAGAGTGATCCCGAGACCCGAGGGGAGCATTTTTCAAGGTTGGCAAGTGAAGCAAAAATTGTACAACTGAGAAAACCTTCGCTTTTCTTCCGCTACGTTTCGAGCAAAGTAGCAAGAGACCAATAAACAGATTTAAAATCTTCAGTGCTGCTGCATATTGTATACAGAGAGAAAGAGAGAGAGAGAGAGAGAGAAAGAGGGAGTGAGAGAGAGTGAGAGAGACATAT